ATATTTTAAGGCTATACGAGCCCCCCTGCAGCCTTAGATCATCGTGCAAGTTCCGGTTGAGGTTTAGGGTGAAGGTTGATCGCTCCTTCATGGTCCTGGCGCCTCGATTCTGCAACAACCTGCTCAAGGTGATAGGGCTAGCACCATCAGCACCTTGTTTTAAACCACTTCCTAAAATGTCCTATATTTTGTTTTTCTTAATTTTTCACAGTCCCTATTAAGCACATGTGTGTTAATATTTTGAGTGATACGCCATACAACACCGTACAACACTCAAAACTCATAGACGTGATGAGTTTTGAGTGTTGTACTCAAAACTCAATGCTTGCACCGATCCAAGCACTTGGTGCTCCTTTCCCTGTGAGCCCGCCGGCCCCACCCGTGCGGAGACGTACGTATCCTCATGCTGACTTTGTAAACAAGAACTATTTAGCTTTCATCGATACTTAGTGATTTCAGACCCGAGAATAAACTTTTTCAAACAATGACAATCGATCTCATAAAGCCCAGGGCCCCACCAGATTTGGATCAGAATTATTTAGTTAACAAAATTATACTTGTTGCATTGTACTTACAGATAAGCTCCTCGTTAGCGTCTTTTATTGAGTCTTTTGAGAAACTCCAGTTTCATGGTAAACGAGCAGTCTTTGGTGAAGTTTCTCGCAGAAACGCAGATTTGCCGTGGATTACAAAGGCCGAGCTTTATTTTCCTGCATTTGTTCTTTTTGATAATACATACAGTGATGGGTAAGCTACTTGACTTGTGTAGTGAGCTAAGCTACAAGCTACTCTACAATAAATTCAGCTTCACTACACTGAAGCTACCACCCATAAATCTGTAGCAAGCCAAGTTACAAAATCCTGTCAAAAGTAGCTTGATATATAGAAGCTACTTTCAATTAAACAAACAGCAGTCCATGCACTTTTATCAGATAAAAGGTAGAATTTAGTTATTTATAGAACAATAGCCCAAAACACCAAAAATAAAACACAAGAATGCCTCTTGCAATTGTAAACAATATAAATTGAGAAATTATATCCCCAATTAACATGTATTTCATTAGAACTGTTTTTTTGTGTGTAACAATAGCCCAATATACACATAACAAATATCAATCAGAGCTGAGTGATGGCTTGATTTAAAGACCTTATGACGGGTTTGATTTATTTAGAAATACAGTTTTAATACCATTTTATATTAGAAGAGAACTACTAAAGGTTTCAAAATCAGTTGTTTTTTTTGTCTGATCCCCCCAAATCGAAATAACCCCATAGCAACGCCCTTAGAAACGAAAAAACTTCACAGCCCTTGGTGACGTCAGAACGGGTACTGTACGTTTCAACGCTGTAAGTTGTTTACAATTTGGTATTCGTTCTTTTTTCGCGGATATTCAAGATGACAAGGCCGTGTACAGCGAGTGTGAGATAACTACTAGATTTTGACACTTCGTTGTCACTGAGATAGCCCAGTGGTTGTGTTGATGGACTGCCAATCCAGAGTCTTGGGTTCAAATCCCTCCTCGGACACTTTTTCACACTCAAAACGGCAATATATGTGTAGTGAGCAATTGTCACCTGTAGAGTGCAGTATTGTGTTGGGCATCAGTGGAGAGAAGAGAGAAAAGGCAGTCCTGTGGCATAGATCCATGGTTTTCAATGCATGGGCGTAACCCGCTATGACGTCACACACAGGTTAGAGCATAGACAACTTAAATTCATGAAAAACACGTTCTTTTTATAAAATATAGGATTTTTTTTGCCGGAATCTCTTTCAAATTGACATTGTCATGCAATTTTGATATCCACTATTTTTTTTTAAACCCGTCATAAGGTCTTTAAGCAAGAATGCCCTTCGAAATTGAAAAAAAAAATAACATAAGTTTAAAAATGAACTGTGCTAAGGACCCGTTTAGGAAAACCATCGTAACAACCTTATTATCAGTCACAGAGGAACTTTCCCTTGGGATTACAAAGTAAGCATCTGAAAACATATTTCTGTTCGCTGGTCTCCACTAAAGTGACGTACTTTTGGAGGTATGGCCACGGTAGTTTGAGAGTCCTCGCGACCGCGGCTCCTGGGCTCTCTGCCGTCTTGTCATTTCCCTCCAGCAGCGCGCGCGCATACATGTGTGTGCGTGTGAGTGCGTGTGAGTGCATGCGTATCGTGGATGGTGCGTATACGCCGTCAGCAAGGCATGCGCTTTAACATTCTGTCTTGCTATTTTTTTTGTTTTGGCTGCGGGAAAATGCTGTAATATATGAACATCAGAAATGTCCGTGAGAAAATAGCTTTGGAGGACGCTACCGCGCTACTTGCTCAATAAAACAGCTTAGCTACAGAAAAAGTTACTTGGTTTTGTAAATAGTGACGCTACGGTCAAGCTACTGAAAAATGTAGTTAAGCTAGTAGCGTCGCTGCCCATCACTGAATACATATGATAATCCATCCATTTTCTTCCCCTTAATCCATTTCTGGGACCCACGACCTTCAGGCTCAAAGGCCAATGCTCCACCAACTGAGCTACTGTCACCCCCATATGATAATGACCATTTTTATTGACTTGCATTGTTTTATCCTGACTGAGCAGCACTTTGTAAACTGTTTTAGAAAAGTGCAATACAAACAAAAATGTATTATAATTATTATTCACACAATAATGGACTTTAGTGATACTAATAACCGCAATAAAAGTGGGAAACTTCTAAATCATAGACACACATTTTGCAACTAAACACAATCACTGTTGTTTAGCTCATCCATGTTCTATATTATGCACACAAAAAATGGGATACCAACTAAAAAAAATGTATCTATGAAATATAATCCATGTCACTACCCCTGGCTCTACAAAAAATTGATTCTATCACCAGTTTTCATATGCATGTAGAAGATTTGGCCTCAGTCACATCTTTAAATCACACTCACTCAAAGAGTGACTCACAGGGCTTTTTCTTACAAGTAGGCAAAAGGAAACATGTTTACTAATAAAGATGAAGTCGATGTTGTGGTCAATTTACTTTTACAAGGACGTGTTATTCATGACAAAGGATATAAGGTGCTTAGGAAAAAAGTTGAAGTTTAACATAGGCCTTAACACTGTTTTGGAAAGCAATAGACATACATTATTTTACGATTATATTAAATTTAACTGCAAATATGATGTTTCAAAATCTAGACACTTCCTTCACGTTGCACGGTTATTTTTATAGTCTTGGCTTCTAACAATGATAATATACTATTATCATGACAGCTCACTTCAGCATCATATAACATGGACCAGTGCCATACAAGTACCCCGTGTGTGTTTTCGAATATGGTTGTATACTGCAAATGACAAATAAAAGTAATATAATTGAACAAAAGTTATAAATGCACCTTATTTCAACAGAGCAGCAGGGGCAGGATACTATGGGCTAACGCTAGCATCCAGCAAATAAAGCTGCTCTTAACTGTCAACAAAGTGAGTGAACACACTCCCAAACAGCTCCAAATTTGGCCCAAAACATAGCGATAAAGCAGCGGAAAATGCCAAGCTAATGGACGCTATGTGGCCGGGAAACTGGAGCTGACAGCCGGCTGTTTGTGCGCACTAATCCAGCAGGGCCATGAAGCCCCGCGCTGAAGTAGCGGGAGTGGACGTGTGATAGGAGCGCAAAGTCGGCTAAGCTCTGAGTTGCGCCTCGGCTCATCCCCGCCTACCTCCGCGACTGCTGCTAGCTCCCGGCTAATGTGCTACATACAGTAGAGCGAGCCGCAAGTGGAGGATGTGGCCATCTTGAGATTGTAAAACAGTGAAATTGAAATATCTTAAACTAAAACATGTGATGTACTTTTTGTAAAACGGATTAAAAAGTTGCATGCAACCATTAAAAAGTTATGAATGTGAGTAATTATATAATGCAGAAACTTATATATAATTATAAATGTGGTTTTGGGGGGGTCTGTGGGGAGGAAGGTTTAGGGCTGGGCATGCTGGATTGTTTTTAACTAAACTGTAAAGCACTTTGTGTTACACTTTTTGTATGAAAATCGCTTTATAAATAAAATTTGATTGATTGATTGATTGATTATCCCCTTTTCTGAATTATTAAAGACGTAAATACTGACTCAAAAACAATCTATATTGTATGCAGATGAGAATGGGTTGTACATTTTTCTGTTGTATTATGAATTAGTTTGTTCACTGAAATATAAAATAAGAATACAAATATAATGAAATAAATTATACATATAACGCTATATATAAATATACACATACATAGAATTATTTCATTTGATAGACTGATGTATTTACGTCAAATGAGTATGCTCATTTTACAAATTACTTTTATATATATTTACAAGTGGGTTATAGATTGGTGTTCACACAAATTACTATAACGTGATGGAGAAAACTGTACTATGAAACAAGCAGGAAGTAGCCCCACAACCCCAAAACAAGTAGTCAAGTATGTGGAGGTGCAAGCTCGCTCACATTTGGGATGACAGTGTGTATGCCATTAAATCAAATAATGTAATTTCTGATGAAAAAAAAAATGCTATTAAATTATGTCTTCCAGTATAATAATCAGTTTAGTATCGTGACAACACTAATATTAAGAATAAGAAGACCTGTGAGTTCAATGGGTTGACTTATTCTAATGTTTTGGTCTTGATTGAATACTCATTAATTGATACTGTACTGTAATGTGCGCTACAGCAGGTAGTGTAACCTCTCTGATCTCAAGGGCTGTTGATTTATTAGATAAAACATATGATAACATTATTAGATATGAATCTAATAATTACAACGATCTCATTTCTAAAGAGTATCCCAGAAATACACTCAGATCATGGCTAATGTGTACACGGTTCTGCTCTTGCTACATACAACTTGTGGATCACTAATGACGTTGAAATGAAGAAAACAGTCGAAACAATCCACTCCACGCCCACAGGGCTGCTCCTTCTAGCGCCTCTTGAGGGGCTAACACGGGGCTAACCAAAGCAGCAGACCCACCTCGTTTGTCGAGGTCGTACCCCACCACTGTGAAGTAGTCCGCGAGCCTGGCCATGTCGTCACGCCTGCGGGCTGCCGCTGCAGATTCGCGCGGTGCTCTGCTCACTGGGTCCGGGAATGGAGAGAGGGGACACGGGCGCAGACTGAAGCATCCTTCCAGCGTCTCCCGGCCGCCATACTGTCAATGACCGAACCCTGTCAGTGCGTACGCGTGCGCAGAGCGGAGGGGGAACAGGGAGGGGCAGGAGGGTGATCGGTGGAATGTCCCGCACAGGAACCACAGACGGTCACAGCACTGGGGACTAGTAAAACTTTTTATATAATAAATAATCCATGCAGTTTGTCCAACAGAAAGAGTTTTCTAAAAGTAAAAGGCTGTGAACAAATCAGACCACGTGCTACCATCGTCTGATTAGAAAACATGTTATATTTTGAATAATTTTAAGACAGTGCTGTGAATCAGTATTTCACTCTTTGGGCTGAGCGCTGATTGGCTTTATCACTTTTTTGTCTGACACACTTAATTTAAAGATATAATACATATATACATAGGCTACATATACATGCAAAAATTAGTGACATAATTAGTGAAATAATAGTGATATAACCAGTATTTTGAGGAACCAGTTAGCTGGATTTTATTATAGTTATATTTTGTGGCATGTTTATCCTGTGTTTTTTTACTTGTTGAATGTGACACAAGTTTGAAATAAATATATTTTATTGATTGATAAAGATTGATTGATTGATAATGAAAGTGAGTAAACTCCAGGTGTGCATGTTTGCAAAGTGAGACTCATCGTACTCATTTTACAATATCGGGAAGTAAAGTGAATGCAAAATCAGCTTTTAAGAACTTAATATTATGTATTCATCAGATGTTATATTTGTTTTCTCATATAAGTATATAGATTGATTGGGATCCATGCATGTTTGAGTACTGTACGTACTGTCTACTGTATATTCTACTGTAGATATTCAAACCCTAACACTACAAATTTAATCCACACATAAACATATGTAAAAAATATCAAGCAAATGGGGATGTATTCAAAGCAGAGCTGTATCACAATGTCTTGTCCTTGACTGTTCCTCCGACAGTTCCTGCTCCGTGACCTTTACACCTTATCTCTCCCTGGTGTTTCGAACCAGTTATATTTTTCTCTTTCCTTTTGAGTTTTCTTTTGCACACCATTGTCTGCTGTACATTTATCAACCTTATCTGGACAGTCCCAACTGTTTCATTTCATGAAGATAAATGGAGGTTGGCAATGTTATAATAATGCGACAAATAACTGATCCTTGGGTATGGCATCAGATTCATTGTCATAAAGTGTTGAATTTTCTGGGATTTCTTTTGTGCTCAATCTTCCACGCGGGTCATTGTGATTAAGCTGTGTTAGAGCAGACATGTATCTGAACCTTTCAGGATGTGAAGCTTGTATCTGCAGCAGGATGTGGTCAGACCTCACTGTTCCAATCTGCGTTCTCACAGTGTTGGCTATAGTAGTACATTTTAATTACCTCTTATAGATGTATGTTACAAATTCTTTGTTACAGTCTCAAGTAAGTAGGCAAAGCAAGTTTATTTGTAGAGCACAATTTCATATATAAGGCAACTCAAAGTGCTGAACCAAGTAAGATAGCATTAAAATCATAAATAATCACAGTACATAAAAAAGAAAGATAAATATAAAATCCCTCAGTTGTATGCACAGCTAAACAGAACTGTTTTTAACCTGGTTTTAAACATTGTCAGAGAAGAGGCCTGTCTCACATCTTCAGGAAGATTATTCCAGATTTTAGCTCCATGAATCTGAAATGCGGCCTCCCCAGGTTTAGTCCTTACTCTGGGCACTAACAGGAGCCCTGTCCCTGTGCTCCTCAAGAGTCCGGGCCGGTTCATATGGTACTAACATGGAGAGACTTGTACACAAGCAGAGCTGTTTTAAAGTTACTGCAGCCTTCAATCATTTCAGAAAAATACCTTTCTCTCGTACTACGTAGCACCCGGTTAAACTCGCACAACTCATCTTTTAAGATCTTGTAATCAACCTGGAGGTTGGACTTGCGCCACTTCCGCTCGGCCCTCCGGCACTTTCTCTTCTGTGCCCTGACCGAGTCTGCTTTAGCCCACGGCGCCTTCTGCTTATTTTTCACTATTTTAACCTTCACAGGGGCAACGGTATCCAGAACATTCAAAACATTAGAGGTGACAGAGTTAAACAGTTCATCTACAGTAGAACACGATGCATTCTCAAAGTTTATCATTCCCATAAATAGTTCACGCGTATTTTCATTTATGCATCTTTTTCGAACAACTGCAGCGTCCACTGGTGGTGATGCTTCTACAGTATTAAAACTGCATTTCCTGTATTTTGGTCAAGCCATGTTTCAGCCATGAACATAAGATCAAGGTTATGATAACAAATACAATTATTGATTAAAAAAGACTTGTTACAGAGGGATCTGACATTAAGCATAGCAAGTTTCGGAACAAGAATCAGATTTTCCTGATTAGACTGACTAACTCCAGATGTCTTTCTGTTATGTATTCTTTGTGTTATCACTAATGCTGCGTTCACACCAAACGCGTTTTGGGCGTTGAAAGCGTCGGGTTTACATTGAAAATACATGGGGGACGCGCTTCTAGGAACGTTGACAGATCCCGCGGCGCGTCACGCGCCTATGAGCAGCGCGTCTTCGAGCGTTTCAGCAGTTGAGGCATTAACATCTTAGAACTTTCTGTTAATGCCTCAACTCACTCCCTCGATCCATCACCATTTGATATAAACCTTGGCACTGCACTCACTCGAGACACTCAAAGACACTCAGTTTGAGAAACTTGGGATAAGGTTTTTGTCATTGGAGTAATTCTTGGTAATTATTGTTTTGCACATGGACACAAATGAGGCCTGAAATCTATTTACCCTGTAATACTCTACGTTGCGTTTCTGAGGGGGCATTTTCCCTTGTTCCCCTTGTCCTTCATCTTGATAAGGGTCATCTGTGAGTTGCTGAACAATCTGAGAAAAAGATATATTCTAAGAGAATACAGCAAATAATGGTTTATTCTAAAAACAACATAATAATACAGAAGAACAATCAATGTGTGAGTGTGTGATTCTTACCTTTGAACACCTCCAACACAGTTCTGATACCTGTAATTGACTGCATTAGCAAAGGTAAATGTTTTTTAACATATGGCTGGTTTTAAAGTTTATATAAAAAGTAAGAAATTGAATAGAGTTATTAGCACTAGTTAGCTTGCTACCAGCAGATGAAAGGAAATGTTGGCAGCAAACAATAACAAAAACTGTACTGCCTCATTTATGAGATGTGAAAGTCTCTGACACTGAAGACCTGGGAAGAGATAAAGTCCATTAATAAAAAAATAAAAATAAATGAACATTACAGTTTTGAACAAAAATGAACATTACAGTTTTGCTGTGTAAGCAGTGACCAGTAACAAGGACATGGCGAGTTTCAGGTTCTATTTCATATGTTGCTTTGCCCTTTAGGCTTCGCTAATGCATATCTCTCGGAAGCATCGCTTCCCGCCCTGAGAAGATCAAACGATCCACCCTCCAATCACCTTCACGTCCTGGCGTAGGCCAGTCCCCTATAAATAGGGCCATGCACCACAGCTCTTCTCCTTTCTCTCTCAGCTTGCCTAAGAGAAGCTTCGATTCATTTGCTAGGATGTCTTCAAGCAAGGTCCCCGCGCCTGAGAACTTGCCACCCTCCGGTGTCAGGATCTGCGACTTGTGCCCAGCGGCACTCTCCCAGACTGACCGCCACGAGTCCAGCGTCTTCTGCCTGGGCTGGCGTCGTGCCGCGGGAGAAAGCCCCAGATGTGTGGCTTGTCTCGCCGTGGATTATTTATGCCGTATAGAGTGGTGCCCTTGGTGGCATCGCTCATGGTGTGCTACTACCCTCTATCCACGCTGAACAGACGTATTGAGAGTGAGGAGTTGACGTCATAGCACAGAGCCCCTCCCCGTCTCCGCCATGTTGGTAGGATCCCACCCAGCGGCAAACAGTTGTTGTTAACTCGGTAGCAAAGGAGGTCATCGCTATTTCTGTTTTACCATGCCTGGAGCTCATTGCTGTGTGAAAAACTGCTCCAGTACCTCACACAATAAGAAAGGAAAACGTAGGAACAACGGTTTACAATTGTTTAGGCTACCAAAATGGATACAACATCAGGGAGCGCAAGTGTCTGACCTGACGAAGAGACGCCGGATGGCTTGGTTGGCTGCAATAAGAAGAAAGGACCTTACTTTCGATCTCACCCCCCAGTCGATGAGAGTGTGTTCTCTGCATTTTCACTCGGGTACGTCCTAAAATGTCTTTATGTTACCTTTGCAAGTACAACGGTGTTTTCACCGCCTGGAGGCTTGTAGATGGCCAAGTCCTGCACCCAACCACAGCAGAAAGCCTCGTAACTCTCCAGTGACTTGTGACTTCTAAACTCCTGCATTGTGTAATAACTAACACCGAAAACAAGGTAATTGACTATATCCATGTACGTGCACGGAGGCAAAAAGTCTAGGTCTTTTTGCCACTCCGCTGCAGGAAGCTCGTATGGGTCTACCTGTTGTATGTCTGAGAGCTTCTCCAAATAACGTTGTTTTGCCGTGGGTAGAAGCTTTTCCCTGTACGGTCCATTTCCTTTCGCCTTCACTTTCTCCATTAACTGTCTTGCTAGTGTTGTATTCGTAGATGTATCTACTGCCGAACTAATAAACGTGCTCAATTTAAAGACCTCTGAAGCGTTAGCGTTAGTGGCGTTGCCCCTGGCAACCGATGGAGGATCCTATCAACATGGCCGACCGGATTAGACCCCGCCCAAATTATCACGTGATCCCTCATTCTCAATAGCTAATACACCACAGATGGTTGTCCTAGCTTAACACATCACTTTGCTCGCTTCATCCCTGGAGTGGTGCCCATGGTGGCTCGCTCAAGGTGTGCTACGTTCTGCTCACGCTGGACAGGCGTAATACTACTGCACCACAGATGGTTGCTTAATAACATCACTCTCGGTGCCCA